AATAAGCTCAATGAGCAGAAGAAGAAGCAATATCTTCCAAGGTCATAGTTATCTGTCATAAATTGCGTCATTAATGCTCTCTAATCATAGCCCTCAAGGCTTCTACAACTTCAGCGGATCTATACCCAAAATATCTACACTACCAGCCCAATTGAACGAGGCTGACTCCAGGAACGTATATCCACAACCCCAAACTGACCACTATAACTTAATTGCACTTCCAGGTCTATCCTTTTGGATAAATAGCGCCTCGCCTGTTGCCATCACAGTTCCTTCTCCGTCCTCAATTGAAGCATACCCAAATATCTTCTTGCCCTCGGTCTTCTCATTGTCTAACCAGGAGCGACATAATACCACGCTAGGCGTTGGAACAGCCTTCTTGTACTCGACCTTGAGGTATAGAGTGAATATAACTTTGTTCTTCGAGCGCGCATTCCAGGCACAAGTACCGATGACATCGTCAAAGATGAATGACAAGACTCCGCCGTGCACCTTATCTATGTGGCCATTGAGTCCTCCACCGAGTGAGATCAGATTGAAGATTTCCCCAAATCGATTTCCCGAACCTGGCTGCGGTGCACGGTGGAAAGCCTGCCAGTGGGGAATTGCATCTGGGCGCGCCATGGTTTGATTGACAAAGGTATGGTATCTCGGCTTCGCATGTTCCTTATCCCGGGCAGAGTTTCTAAAGGGCTTGAAGGCTGGGTCGTCATAGTATCGTCTACACCAAGGAATGGTTGTGAAGAAAGCTCTCGATTCAGGATTGGCAGCCCCGAAGATGAGGCCCTCGCCATCTTCAAGCTCCATACCGGGGTCTGAGAGTTCGAGGAAACACAACGATGATATACTATATCGTACTGCTCTAGCTAAAAAGGAAGGCAGAGGGCACAAATGGAACACAAAACTCCCCACTATTCTATTTATTCTGGCAAGGGAACCGCCATCTTCATTGACTCGAACTGTACGAAAATACAGGATACTCACGTATATGTACCCCCCTACTCCCCCTCATTCGTATACTACCTCGAAATGGTTGGTTTGGGTTTATCTGAGCCTCGGCCCGGCAACTGATTATCGCTGGACCCTGACACGGCCCTGAATCAGTGGAGTCCGGGGAATTCGTGGCTGCCTGAGGAATAAAGGCGCCAATAGGCCGTGCAGCAGAATTCAGGGGATCCACCACCTGGGATTCTCTATCAGCATTGACTAGGTGGATTGTACACAGTATGAGAAAGCAGCACTACAGTATATCCAGCAGTATTGCTGCAAAGACCAGGCTAAAAGGCTCAGAGTACACAGAAGTTGAACGCAGGCGTGGCTTTGCCATAATACCCATAGAAGAGCTCACCAATCAGGGCACAGTGGCCGTTAACTGTCAAAAAGCAAACACTGCATAGGGGACCTCACTGTATGCATAGCTGAGATAGCATGCCCTTTGTTTGCTTGTATTCGGGTCTCTCCCTTCCCCTCTTTACCATCGTGGTTGCTGTATTTTAAAAAAGGCACCTCTTTCTAATTATTTATCCAGAATACTGCATCTTCATTAAAGGACCGTCATCTTAAATTGCGCCGTGAGCTGCAGGGCCCGCAAACCTAAAAAGCTGAAACTGCCGCGCCCTAAAAATACCCAGCGATCCCTTTGGCGGCGCATCGACTCGAAACTGCCCAAATTCACTGGTCTTCGTTGCATCTAAGCCGCTTTGGCTGCCATCGCACAGTCCCGCGCTTTTCCTGTGCGCCAAATGTCACTGCGCACAGATTGATTTATTGGATTTCCATTCTTCAAGAAGGACAGCCAGCGTCTGATCGCATTCTTGCGCAACAACCACGATTCGCGGGCTGTTGTCCATCGTCTTTCTGATTCGCCTGTGGTAGGAGCGTTAACATCCTCCTGTGGTACCGTACCAGTTACCCTTCCATCCCTTTTACATCTTCACCCCATCATCATCCGTCTTTGCCATGACTGTGTCATGATGCTCTTCTTCTCTACCCTCTTTACTTTCTTCTGTTCCAGCTGTTGATCATTTCCTCGCCAATTTTCTCCTTTGCTCTTGCTTCTGGCGACCGTTATATTCTTCCGCAGTTGTTGTTGCTGTACACAATCCTTCTAGCACACTTATCGACCTAGCACAGCCGCTCTGCCTTGCTCGACCTTCACTTCTGTCAGCCCTGCTTGCTGGCCAACGAACAGCGCTCACAACCCTTCTTCTTTCGCGATCACGTACACGCGTCCACTCATATTATATTCACTGAACAAATCACACACGAGCACCAGAAATTCATTGCAGACCACACAGCTGCCACTTCATTCGCGCCGCTTAATCAGTTGCTCTTGCACGGCTCCTGTCCAAGCTTTGGGAACTCCACCTCTAGAGCTATAGCTCTACTCCCGGTCTATACCACACTTCGATACCCCTCAAGAACTACCCAAACTTTGCACAAAGATGTGGAAGAAGTTGAAGAACTCGGGAGCAAGGCACGCCTCCGCTGCTGATCCGGGCTTGGCACCGAACCCATATGGCGATCTACCATATGATGGATCAAAGGGCATGGGCATCCCCGTGAATCGCGGTGCCCCTCCTCCTAGGCCCCCAAGGACAGAAAGCATGGGAGGAGACTTGCCTTTGTTCCCACCGTAAGTTACTTTCTGTACGGAGTCTGCGAGCTTAAATATGAAGATTTTGGAAATCTTAAATTTGACACCATGAGTTTATTTGATCAGTAACAGTCATTGGCATATCTATTTGATCAATTGATTCATATATTATGCTCTAACATATTGATTCGATCAAGGAAGAGTATCGTCACTAACTGAGCTCAGGAACAGAAATGCTTACGCACAGCAACCAACCTATCTATCACAGGGTGCTTCCTCCCATCACCGTGGCCCTTCGTCTCTATACTCTCAGCCCTCACCGAATCCCGTTGTTACCAATTTCGACTACCAAAATTCATATGCGTCGCCCGATACGTATGATACGGCGGAAGTATCCCCTCCTAGCTCTCCCGACTTTAGCAGGAGAATAGCTCACGGGTTCGTGATTCTTCCCTCGATATCAAAGTCTACCACCCAATAATACTTACATATCAGATAGGAACAATTATCAGTACGATGATGATGTCTCTCCCATAGATGAGGATCCTGATGCTTCAATTTTTACTTCCAAAAGACCAACAAATATTCCTAAGCCTCTCTCCAGCGGTATCCCTGTTCTCGTCGGGGGTGTTCCTATCCTTCGACGAGAAAAGACACGCAACAAGACCCCTTCTGAGCCTTCAACAATAGCACGGAAGCAGGTGAGTAGTGGAGGCTTTAACCCGGCCGCCGCAGATGAAGAAAATGCTACTGTTGAAAATGGCCCAACCACGACAAGATCTAAGCCTTCATTTGCCGAACGAGCTAGGAAAATCAAAGAACAAAATAAGCAGATGACGCAACCACGCCCGGAATGGAGGGGTGCAAGCGGCCGTGCGACAATAGCCTCTCCAGTGGAGGACGATATCACCGTCGCCCCTCTCAATATCCCAAGGAAAAGTAGCAAACGCGTATCTTCCCGACCAGATTTGAGGGCCCGAACTTCTGAGACACCAACCGCTTCACCAGTGGTATCCAAGCACATAGACCCCGCGATCCGGACTATAGAGTCAAGTGATAGGGAAACCACACCCACGGATTTAGCATCATCCAATGCTTATCGATCGGCATCATTCTCTACGTCCCAGCCTTACCCAAGCCCCCCTCCAGAGAAGTTGAACGCTACCACCAAGTCCCGACACCGGAAGCAAGATTCTGTTGATAGCATCGAACGTCAATTCCGAGACACCTTTAGAAACGTCTCCTTTCCGGGAACGTTTCCAGCGGATCCCAAGGACACTTACGCTGAGCCTGCTTCCCGGTTCAGCGTGACTACATATGCTCCTTCGACTGCTCAGACTTCACCACGACCATCTCTGGACGCTTCGGATCGTCCCCCAATGCCAACACCGCCACAGGCCTACACAACATCTGAGCAACAGAACTCTATTCTCAACCGCCGACGCCCGAAGGTTGAAGAAAGCCCCAAGGCAACTCAGCGCAAAGCTATAAACGCATCACCAATAAAAATTAGCATGTCCTCCAGCGTGAATGTCAATACCCCTCGCCGTGTTTCAGATGTTAGCAAATCCCTCCCTAAGTCTCCAGCTGAGGCTTTAGCCTCTACGCAAGACCTCATCGCATCCCTCGAAGCACAACTGGAGAATCTAGCAGTCAGACGCGGTAACGTAACCAAAAGTATACGACAAATGACGCAGCTAATGCCGACCGACTCGTTGACTGCCCCTCCAGCAGTTTTAGCAAAGCGTGAGGAAGAGAAGAAAAAGGTTGAGATGTTGAAAGAAGAGGAGGCGGATATCAAGAGGCAAGAGCATGAAATAGGGTTAAGATTGCATCGGGCTTGGAAGAGACGGGATAATGATGCAGTTTACGAGCCTACGGGTCTTTGGGTTAGACGGATTAATAGCTAAGGCTTGTTCAACTAAGTTGGATGAGGCTTTAGTTGTTTTCTCTGCACCAAGGTACCCAGATTATGTTCTCCTGCTTGCTAGCGGAGGTATACATACGCTGTCACTTGCTATGGATTTCTGTACATGTTGGATTATTCATCAAAGTTGCAAGCGATACTGGGCATCTTTTCTTCCTGGTTTTTTCGTCATTTTCGTCATTCGAGATACCACCATTCTTCTGTTTCATATTTTTTGTATTATACTTTGCGGTTATTCATGAGCGTAGAAGAACAAAAATGCGATCCATGAAAGATTCTAGAAACTGTTGTCGCAGTATCCTTTGGTACCCTCCCCTTATTGAAGCATCCCGGTAGAGAAGCTACAAACCACAAGCGAAACTGAACTAAAAGATAGCCCCCATAAGTCCTACTCCAACTAGTAAATTATACCAAAAAGGAGAGCAAAACAAGTCTACATTTCCTTAAAAAGGGTTCCAAAAAAGCAAAAGATACAAACGACCCAGACGGGACTCGAACCCGCAATCTTTGCCAGACAGGAATAGGAACCTTGCCACGGAATCGTGGTGCAGAACCGAGCCGGAAAGCAACGCCTTACCATTAGGCCACCAGGCCGCAATACCTTGGAGGGACTTATTGAGGTTGATACAGGTAAGCTGTGGTGACTGCACTGAGCCTTTCAAGCGTTTCAGTCTGTAAATAATCTGGATTGATGGTTGTAATGATCTTGTTTGTGGTGGTTGAGTTTTGGAGGTTGAGTATTCTTTGCGTAACAGATCTTGTTTGGGACTCCGGGGGTTAAGCACTTAGGATCAGTAGGTACAAAGGTTTTAAGCGCTCATTTCTAGTTGAGATGACTTTAGGTTAACGGGCAGGAGAGTTGTGTGTGAACGTTTCTTTTTGTTTATGGTACGCTTAGAAGGTTCTTAGATGCATGCATGCATTTTAAAATGCATCCCGACTTGTGGATTATTAAAAAGCACGCTTGATAGCAAACTTGAGTGCAAGGAGAAAGTATATATACTAATCGAGCAATCAAGCTGGTAGGATACGAGTAAGTCTACCTTTCTAGAACTATAGTTTCACAATTAGAGATATGGAGTAGCTTAGAAGACAATACGTAAGTTCCTTAGATATGAATATCGCTTTTTGACTAAATAATCCCACTGCTTCTAGTTTACAGCTTACTGCTCTTCTTAACTGGCTTCATTAGAGCCCTTCCATTACTCAAACAAATCTTCCCGCCTTCCACCGATGTCTGGAATCTGATCTCCTCCCATCCATCCTTGTCAACCTCTCCGGTTCTCCAGATCTCAGTCACAAGCTTGTCACCCGGCTTGACAGGAGAAGCAAATCGAGCTTGATACTCCTTGATATTCTTGGGATCACTGCCTCCAATCTCCTTGAGGAGTCCATGGGCTGCGAAGTTCCAGGTCGAGAGACCATGCATAATGGTACCGCCAAAGCCCATGGCTTTTCCGGGCTCGGGGTCGGCGTGGAGAGGGTTATAGTCTCCATTAAGTCTATTTTCACTTGTTAGCTCTGATACTTAGAGATCAGGCAGCGCAAACAGCTCTTATTGAGCTTGGACAAGTTTGAAAAGCTTACCTATAGAGAAGGGCTGATTCAGGCCTAGTCTGGTGAGTTACAATAGCGTCTGGTTTCTTGTCCTTCGGTGGAGGGAAGTTCTGTGTCGCTGGTCCCTTAGGTCCGCCCCAGTTGCCCTGCCCAACATAGAAGGCGCTTCCTACTGCTCGGGAGTAAAGCTCTCCGGTGGCTTTGTCGACTAGGTCCTGTTGTGTTTCAACAACAGAACCGGCCTTTCCCTTGTCATATACGCCAATGACCTTGCTGCGCATCTCAAATGTCTTTCCGGCTGAGGTTGGTGGTAGGGGCTTGTAGAAGGTCATGAGCCGTTGACCATCGACTACGCGGCGGGTGTCAAATTTGGGGACGCCAGGAATGGGAGTTCGGCTTTGAGATGCATAGAAGTCAATCACTTCTTGGGTGGTGTGTTTGAATGCTACCCTGCGTGTTAGCTTTTAGAGCTTCCTGGCCGTACCAAGGTGTGCTTACGGAGGATTACTGAGTATGTTGGGAATACTGCAAAGTTGGGGTGTAGTTCCTATATTTCCGAACATTAGGACTGATCCATCTAACTCGAAGCAGAACATACGTATAGGAAGTGCAACTCATCCACCGTGCAACCAATACTGTTTGCGAAGAGGAGGACATCTCTCTTGAGCCATGATACCTCTTGACGGGGATATTCGAAGCCTGCGCCTGGACCGCTCATTTTGTGTTTTTAGAAGAAATTGGATTGTATCGTATTAATATGAGATACTCTGAGGTGTTTAATGCTTGAGAAAGAAACTTGAAAGGTCAGAATAGCGTATCGCATGAGCAATTTGAAGTCGAAGTAAGCATAGCTCCGCCCGCACAGCACTCGGTAAAGGCTACGATGCCTCGGCACGACGATTAGATTACCCCAGACTTTCTAAGCACCCGTTAGTGTCAATGACTCGAGCTGCTCCACTAAAACGTCTCGCATTACTGTATTAACGCATTTGACAGCTACTTCAAGACAAATCTTAGCTTTTATTGAGACCTTGTGACTCAATGTTTCGTAGTGCGTTGCATTTTGTTATTCTATCCCGAAAAACTATTTTCCTTCAACCATTTATCTTTGTTGAGTCACCGCCGGTGAGGCTGTACATATGCTTTCTATGATTGGGCATTGTAAAACGCCTCATGGCAGACAAGGCTGACTGCCCATTTCTCTTAATTCACTGAAGCTATGGACTCGACGCCAGATAAAGTATAATTCAAGCAATTAACTACGGGGTGAGTCAGTCGGGATCTCTTGTCTCGAAGGCTCTAAAATACAAATTATGTGCCTTTCTCCTGTAATCGTATCGGCTCTCTAGAATCCAAATAATCTAAGTCCAGATCTCAGGCAGATCTATTTTCTAGTGAAATGTCAAGAATGGAAGATACTAGCAAAGAAGAGCAAGAGGGTCCGATATACTTCTGGAAGCCACACGGATCCGAATATGGATTTCTTTCACAATGGCACGAGAGCCCGTTTCAGGATGCTGATAAAGCTATAACGTATAGCTCAGCTGAACAGTAAGGAAATATAGTCAAATGAGAGTTTAATTAACTAAAGTTAAACAAGGTACATGATGTATCAAAAGGCCGTCTTATTTGAGGATCATGAAATTGGAGCAAAGATCTTGGAGACGACATCCCCAAGAGAGCAAAAATCATTGGGACGGAAGGTCCGGAATTTTGATGACGATGTCTGGAAGAAGAACCGATCACGTATTGTGACTGGAGGCTCATATTGCAAGTTCGTGTATAGCTTGGCAGAAGATGAAGGGTTGAAACAGAAACTTCTTGCTACGGGGAAAAGGGAACTCGTAGAAGCGAGCCCCATGGATAGGATTTGGGGTGTTGGGTTTGGAGAGAAGAATGCTGGGAGTCAGAGGCATAGATGGGGTTTAAACCTCTTGGGGAAAGCCTTAATGGAGGCAAGGGAAAGGATTCGAAAGGAGGACGGAGTGGAGCAGAAAGCAGTGAAGGAATCGAAGAAAAGGGCCCACGAAACGGATCGGGTATCGGCAAAGAAAAAGGCCCGGGAGAATAGGAAAGGAGATCATTCTTCAACTTCAGAATGAAAACAAGATGAAATGGTGATGAGAACAGGCGAACAAACACGAACTGGAACTCTGCTTGAAAAATTCTATGCACAACTTCAATAGGGAACATCGACTGATATGACAGATTACATTCTATGCCTTAATATTAACTAGCAACGTTAGTCTATTATCACAAAGCTGCATGATGACTGCTTTTTCCAGCTGTCTAATGCAACAAACTGCGTCTATGATGAGTTTTTCCTCCCAGGTCAAATTCCCTGTCAATTTAGCTCATATGCAGTGACCCATGTCAATTGTACCCTGCTGTAGAAATCAACTCTCATTGAGGATCTGCATAGCAAAAAATAACCGATCAAAGACCAAAACGAAGGCGTTGAACGAAGATGGCAAAAAACTCCTGAGTAGCCATCCACCGTCTCAGTCAACTTTCCCCAGTAGAACGGTATCACCCTTTCAACTAGCCGGGAGGTTCTCCATTTTGCCTTTACCGTCTGCAATCCACTCTGGCTCGATCAATCTCTCCCGATCCTGATACAAATACTTGTAAGCAGTACGGATGGTACCATCACTGACACCAGCAACCTGTGAGATTTCCTTCGCAGATTTTGGCTTGCCTAGAAGGTATGATGCCATATAGATGCAGGCAGCGGCAACAGACAAAGGAGATCGTCCGGCGAGATCACCAACAGTTGACATTTTCTCTGCCAGACCTTGTGAGACTTTAACGAACTGCTGATTCTTCAAGCCAAGCTGACTGCAATATCGGAGACAGAGATCCTTAGCATTTGTGGATGTAGTAGTCTGGTACTTGTCTGTGGATGTAAGTGTTCCTTTGATTGTACTGTTAACCACTTGTAAGAATAAGGAATCAAATGCGCGTAACTTACCACCAGCAGCACTAGCCATCGCAGCCTTGCCTGCACTGTCTGACGCAAAGAACTTCTCCAAAGCCTTGAAAGTTCGGCCAATATCCTTCTTGGAAACCTTTGTTAAGGCGTATATTTCTCGGAAGGTTCGGGGAACACCGCACTGGCGGCAGGCGATGAAGATGCAGCCGGCAATGATGGCTTCTTGAGACTTGCCTTTGAACGCTTTGGCATCGTCCACAAGTTTGAACAAGTGTTTTGCAGTATCAGACACGTTCTTAGGAATATTAACGGCATCGCAGTGAGCACCAATCTCTTTGTATGCTGCAAGGAGTGATTTTGTAGCTTTATCCGCTGTAGATTTACCTTGGGCGCGGTGTAGATCACGGCTTCGAGCGCCACCGTCGCCGTATGCGATAGTAGTCTGTAACTGGGAACCATTAAGGAGGGGGTTTGCTCCATCACCGACACGAGACGGATCATCGTTTCCTTGATCGTCGTTCGAGAACGTTCTCCATTCGGATCGAGTATCGACAATACGATCACCAAGTACAAGACCGCAGGAGCCACAAACCATGTCTCCAGAAGAGAACTCCTCAACAAGATTTGGCGGGAACTCCTTGCAGTCTTTGCACACCAACGTCATATTAAGATTTTGCGACCATTCTGGCGACCTAGTGTCCACCGCCGTTGGAGCGATCATCTTTGGCCTGTATGGCTTAGATAGATAAATATTATCTAAAGGGTCGAACGCTACGCGGCGTATCGGTCGCTTTCGGACTTCCTTTCTTTTGCGCGATACAGTTGCACGGGTCTTTAGATCTCTGGTAGGTTTTTGGCAAAGAAGCGTGGTTGAGAGTTTGACAAAGAGTGGAGAATGCACTCTGAAGACGTTGACTAAACTTTCGTTGAGTGAAGTCCCTCCACGGTGTCTGCCGAGAGTAACTGAACCCCGTTTGTCCGCCCCTATTCCCGTTCTCCCAAGCCAACCCACGCCCTACGACAATCGTACAATTCCTGGGGCAAGGAGATATTTTAAATGAATGATATCGCAGTTCTTATTGATGTAGAATATACAACTAGAACG